AATTGTTTCCGTATAAATCAGGTCTTAATAGAAAGAAAAGATTTCACACAGGGAGAAGCCATATTCCTGTCCTTGTTTAATGTAATGCGGGAAATGTTTTACACAGAAATCACATCTTATCGACATCAGAAAGATCTCACACAGGAATGTCATATGTCGTAAAAATTCAGTCGCTGATGGTTGCTGGGAAATGTTTTAAAGAGAAGTCCCATCGTTAGCAGACTTCAGAGATCGCACATGGGGTTGAGCGAAGCCATATTCCTGTCCATGAGTGTGGGAAATGTTTTTCAAATAAGCAATCATGACTCAACATCAGAGAGTTTCACACAGGGGAGAAGCCGTATTCCTTGTCCTGAGTGCTGGGAAATTGTTTTTCACATAAGTCCACTCTTTACAGAAAAACATCAGAGATCTCACACGAGGAGAAGTTATATTCCTGGCCTGATTGCGGAAAATGTTTTTCACAGAGTCCACTCTTTACACACATCAGAGATCTCACACAGGGGACTTCACACACATCAGAGATCTCACACGGGAAAAGCCGTATTCCTGCCCTGAGTGTGGGAAATGTTTTTCACAGAAGTCCAATCTTTACACACATCAGAGATCTCACAAAGGGGAAAAGCCGTATTCCTGTTCTGAGTGCGGGAAATGTTTTTTAGTGAAGTCCCGTCTTTCCACACATCAGAGATCTCACACGGGGGAGAAGCCATATTCCTGTCCTAAGTGCGGGAAATGTTTTTCAGAGAAGTCCAACCTTTACAAGCATTAGAGATCTCACACGGGAGAAGCCCTATTCCTGTCCTGAGTGCGGGAAATGTTTTTCACAGAAGTCCACTCTTTACAGACATCAAAGATCTCACACGGGAGAGAAGTTATATTCTTGTCCTGAGTGCGGAAATGTTTTTCAGGAGAAGTCCACTCTTCACACACATCAGAGATCTCACACAGGGGAAAAGTATTCCTGCCCTGAGTGCGGGAAATGTTTTTTTACAGAAGTCCAATCTTTACACACATCAGAGATCTCACACGGGGAAAAAAGCCGTATTCCTGCCTGAGTGCAGGAAATGTTCCCTCACTGAAGTCCTGTCTTTCTGTACATCAGGGGTCCCACACAACCCTGGAGGTGTATTAGTGCTTGAGTGCGGGAAATGTCTTCTAGATGAATGTTGCTGGACATCCCAGCTCTGATGTGGGGAAGAAGCACACCCTGATATACACCTCAGATATACTCCATGGCTGATCTTCATCATGGAAGAAACAGTTCATAAGAAGAAAAAAAAAAAATAACCCAAATTAGTTTATAAGCAAAAATTATAATTTTTCAAAACTTTTTTTGCATTTTTCTTTTTCTTTTAATATTATTATTTGTTTTTTTTAAGAAGGTACATCCATGTTTCCATCTCATTTCCTATTTTAGATATCAGTGGAGGGTAGTAATGATAGACCGAGGATGGCTCCTTCCCTATCGTAATGCCTGAATATGTGATCTGAACATTTGCTACGTGAAGAGAGACTGCTGGGCCCAGGGAAGGTGTTGTTTTCGAGAAAAGGAAAGTATTCCACTCTTAGCAGAATTGATTGGAAGGCCAGAGCACTGTAGGCAGCTTGTGAAGACCTGATGGAGAATGTGAATATCTGCCACAGGATCCGCCATAAAATATAGAATATCATCGGCAAATAGGACTACACAGAGTTCTTCTTGACCTGTCTGAATCCCATGTATTGGGGCTCTGGAGGAAAGGTAACGGGAGAAAGGTTCCAGGGCAAGGTTGAAAAGAAGAGAGTGAAGGGGGGGGGCAACCCTGGTGAGTACCCTTCATGCAGCAATATTTCACCTGATATGAGACCTGCAGCTACCACCCTGGGTGAAGGTGCAGAATCCATACTGCTGAAAAGCCATCAGAAGAACCAGAGCAAGCCAATGATAGCTGACATTATCCAAGACTTTTCCAGCATCCAATGTAATAATAGCTCGATCCTCAGACGGGTGTACCTTGCCTTGTTCCAGCACTGCAATAACTTTCCGAATGTTGGAAGCCACTGGTCTACCATTAATAAAGCCAGCCTGGGCAGTATGGATAAGGGAGGGTAAATTGCAGCCAAGAGGGATGCTACTATTTCAGAGAGTATTTTAGTGTTCACATTTAGGAGGGATAGGAGTCGGTATGCCTCCGGTTCAAGTGGGTCCTTGCCCTTATTAGAAATCAATTTTATATAGTCTTGGTGACCCATTGGAAGGTATGGGCCCCCCTCCCAAACCTCGTTATATACTGTCAGTAGCTGAGGGATGAAGAGAGTCCATCATCTTATAAAATGCTGGTGTGTAGCCATCAGGACCAGGTGATTTCCCACTAGGTAAGCCTTTAATCACCTCAGACTCTTCCTTTAATGAAATAGGGGCATTTACAGATTGCAGGTGGGAGGGGCCAATAGTGAGTAAATGAAGTGAGTCTAAGAACTTTTTGTGGTCACCTCAAGGTCTTGGATCTAGATATAGAGTGGCACAAATATCTTCCAGTATTTTATTGGTTTCTTCTGAGGAGGAGACAAGGGTAGCAGAAGTATCCTTTAGGGAGGCTACATGAGTTGGTTGGAAAGACCCTTTGCTTACCCACCTTATCACCATATTTACACAATTGTGAATCAGCAGAGGAACAATTTACTGTATATGTTTACCCAGCCAAGTCCTTCCTGTGTTAGCGCCTCCACTCTGCTACCCAGCCGAGTCCTTCCTGTGTTAGCGCCTCCACTCTGCTACCCAGCCGAGTCCTTCCTGTGTTAGCGCCTCCACTCTGCTACCCAGCCGAGTCCTTCCTGTGTTAGCGCCTCCACTCTGCTACCCAGCCGAGTCCTTCCTGTGTTAGCGCCCACTCTGCTACCCCAGCCGAGTCCTTCCTGTGTTAGCGCCTCCACTCTGCTACCCAGCCGAGTCCTTCCTGTGTTAGCGCCTCCACTCTGCTACCCAGCCGAGTCCTTCCTGTGTTAGCGCCTCCACTCTGCTACCCAGCCGAGTCCTTCCTGTGTTAGCGCCTCCACTCTGCTACCCAGCCGAGTCCTTCCTGTGTTAGCGCCTCCACTCTGCTACCCAGCCGAGTCCTTCCTGTGTTAGCGCCTCCACTCTGCTACCCAGCCGAGTCCTCCTGTGTTAGCGCCTCCACTCTGCTACCCAGCCGAGTCCTTCCTGTGTTAGCGCCTCCACTCTGCTACCCAGCCGAGTCCTTCCTCCACTCTGCTACCCAGCCGAGTCCTTCCTGTGTTAGCGCCTCCACTCTGCTACCCAGCCGAGTCCTTCCTGTGTTAGCGCCTCCACTCTGCAAAGCCCCAGGAGATGTTCACCTGTCCTTCACTCCAGGCCAGGACCCCCAGAAATCCCCCCTGTACCCATCTCAGGCTCTCTCCTTCCAGTCACAGGGCTTTTCAGAGGACATCTGACAGGGAATGAGGACATGTTATTACCACCCCCACCACCTGATTTCACCCTACAATGACACACTACCACATTGTAATTGTGTGTGCATTGTACGTAGTGGTGGTGTGGCCCCATTGAGCCCAGTGGGGGAGCTTGATAAGAGGTGCTGCTTGTCAGACTCTGCACCCCGAGGTAATAATGCTGCAGACACGGCCTGTTAATAGCCCCATCTGGCTGTTATTTTACAGTTTGAGAGCAGAAACACTGGCTCAGCTGTCCATTTTTACCACCCCCAAAACCCAACTGAAAGAGACCAATCTCATGAGCAGTGGTATCTAAAATAAATTGAATAACTCTAGCGCTAACTATGGTGAAATGAAAACAACAAAAAATTACAATTAAATACTGTAGCCGCTAGTGCACACAACCCATGTCTCAGTGCGGCAAAATTATACATTCATAATGTGAAGTGAAAAAATGCTGCGCTACATGAAACAATGGCACAATCCTTATATAACCAAAAAACAAAGTGAAAAAAAAAAAAAATATATATTAGAAGATAAAATAGTAAAAAAATATTAATATTGAAAATTTAAAAAAAAAAAATATATATATATATATACAAAAAACAAAAAACACACAAAAAATAAAGAATATTTTTAAGTATGAATCAAACAAAAGTCATTCAAAAAAATCAAGTTCACATCAAGAAAGTGTTCATTCAGGTGATATTCCTTTTGGATAATGAAAAATATGTGCATCTGATTAGAATTCACAAGGTGGCAGTAGACATCCTCCACCAGAGTCCTGCTCACATGCTCCACCATGTAACAGACACCATCCTCCACCATGTATCTGCTCACCATCCTCCGCCATGTATCGCTCACCATCCTCCAGCGGTTGTAGTCTGCTCACCATCCTCCACCATGTATCATGCTCACCAGCTCCGCAATAGCATCTCACTAAGGGCCCCGTGCTTTGCCTCACCTCCTATGATGGATGTATCTGCTCACATGTCCTCCGCCTGAGATGTATCTGCTCACCATCCTCCACCGTGTATCTGCTCACCATCCTCACTGTATCTGCTCACCATCCTCCACCGTGTATCTGCTCACCATCCTCCGTGAACGTGCTCAGCATCCTCCACCATGTATCTGCTCACCATCCTCCACCATGTATCTGCTCACCATCCTCCACCGTTGTATCTGCTCACCATCCTCCACCATGTATCTGCTCACCATCCTCCACCATGTATCTGTCTTCACCATCCTCCACCATGTATCTTCTCAGTCCATATGGGACCAAAATGCAGCTTCTGACCTCCACATTGTACAATCCCTGCGATCACACTCCACCATTAAAAATCTGCTCACCATCCTTTACCATGGTGAAGATTTGCTCAGCAGAGACATGAAATCTCCCTCACTGATAATCATTGCACCAGGTCCTCATGTGGAGGATGGTGAGCAGCATACACGGTGGAGATGGTGAGCAGAAATATATGGTGGAGGATGGTGAGCAGATACACGGTGGCAGTATCATCTCAGGAGAGTCCTGCACATGTGAGCAGACACATGGTGGAGGATGGAGTGTGATACATGGTGCCATTCATCCGGAGCAGCACTGTGGATGAAGACTCTACAAACGGCTCCTGGGAAGGACTTTTACAGCAGGCAATAGGCATTCACTAAGGGCCCCATGGTGCTTTGCCTTGCATCACATGACGAATGGTGTCTGTTCTGAGCATGTGCAGCAGACTACTGCTTCCGGAGATGATACTGCACCATGTATGATGTCAGTGATGTACTGATCAGACTGGTCTTCATATCATGGTGCAGCAGCATACCTGCACAGGATCGTGAGCAGACATTCCTGGTGGAGGATGTGTGAAAAGGATACATGGTGGATTCATGAGCATACTCTCTACAAAGGACGTGGAGGATTATGGTACATTAGCAGATACATGGTGGCCTTGATGGTATAGCTGAGGATGCAGAGCCAGATACAGTGGAGGTCTTTAAAGGGATGGTGCCACCTTGTGATGATCAGTACATCACTGGATCTTCACATATGGTGCAACGGTACACCTCCGGGATGGTGAGAGATTACATGTGGAGGATGAATAAAGCAGATAAAACGGCGGATGTGGATGGTGAGCAGATACATGGTGGAGGATGGTGAGCAGATACACGGCGGAGGATCAGCAGGGAGATTACACGGTGGAGGTCTTCATGGTGAGCAGATACATGGTGGAGGATGGTGAGCAGATACATGGTGGAGGATGGTGGAGGATGGTGAGCAGATACATGGTGGAGGATGGTGAGCAGATACATGGTGGAGGATGGTGAGCAGATACATGGTGGAGGATGGTGAGCAGATACATGGTGGAGGATGGTGAGCAGATACATGGTGGAGGATGGTGAGCAGATACATGGTGGAGGATGGTGAGCAGATACATGGGATACATGGTAGAGGATGTCTCTGCACGGGAATTGATGACAGATCCACATATTTTTTGTTATCCAAAGGAGGGTTCACTGAATGAACACTTTATTGATTGAACTTGATTTTTTGAATGACTTGTTTGATTCATGCTTAAAAATACTTTTTATTTTTTGTGTGATTTTTGTTTATATAAATTATTTT